GTGGGAGTCGAGCTATCCACTAAGGATGAGTGGATTTGGGGTGATTGAGAATTTGAGGCTAGTAATCTGGGGTTTAGGGTCATGAGTGGTTGCGTGGAGGTGACTGGAGCACGGAAGCAGTTGGGTGGAACTTGATCAGATAAGAGATCAAGATTGTAGAACTAACTAACCTTTTCTTTGAGAGTTTGGTTTTCGACCTAGATGGTAGCGTCTTCAGCCCGGATTGTGGCTTTCTCAGCTTCTAGCACTATGACTTTGTCCTTAGCCATTAGGTCAAGAGTGGCATTGTCCGTAGTTTAAGTCATGATGTAATTCCTTGTGGAGCAGAGTGTCGAAGGAAGGATGATTACCAAAGGCCGTACAGTGGGCACCAAACTATAGATGCTAAAAATCTACGGTTACGGAAATGATGAATCCTATGAGGTTGATGCCATTAACAATCTGTTGTACTTGCACACACAAAGAAACAAGCGTGAAGCTCACAGGAAATACTGAGGTGGTGTTTGCCGTAGGCACTTTGACGCTCAAGTCAATAAGGTTGAATGAGGCTTATTTAGTAAGGGTTAGGGAAAGAAAGGTTACCAGAAGTTTAGTCGGAGACTAGAACTATAGCGAAGGTGTAAAGTTCTTGGGCGTAAGAACTTGGGAGCTAGTAGGTGGTAGTGATCATGAATGCCTAATGAGAGGTGTGTTCTCTGCTTATATAGTAATCGTAGGATCTTCATATCTTAGTAGGACTTTGAGTCCATAATTGTAGAGGATTAGTGAATAGTAAAGACTTTGATTCGCTTACCTTTAGAGTAGCAAGAGTCCTAATTCATATGAGATTCAGGATCTTAAGTGAATTAGGATAAAGATAGAAATAGGAAGTAGACGTACTAGAATCTGAGCAGGACTCTGGGCCTTAATAGTTAACATGGGCCAATGGGCCTGATCCTTGGTGGCTTGACAATAAGGCCCAACCTGGATGGCCTAGCGTAGTAGATGTATTAAACGCGTGACATAGATCTCACGGTAGGCCCAACCAGAATTGGGCCACGTCCCTGGGCCAAGTAATAGGTGTCTCATGCTTTGGGCTTGGTAAGGCCCAAGGCGATAGTTTGGCCCATACACTTAACACTTCAAACTCATTATATTATTCACTTTAGAAAGTGATCCAATTCGTTTGCTTTATATTTTAAAGCAATTCTTTGAGTGAAATGTTCTAAAAAATTAAATTGTTTTCATAATATTATTTCAAATTAAATACTAAAAAAATATTGAAATATTCTTATTTGTATAATACACAAGATTCTCCTATTGAACTGTTTAATTCATGAGATATTATAAATTATAGTGCTTCTTAATATGTCGTATCATTTAATATAATTTTCATTTTTCTTATATTCATCCTCATGCATTTCATTTTCATTTTTTATTTTCACTTTGAATATATTTATGAAATTATTTATAATAAGTCAGCTAAGGATAACAACATTGTCCAGACAATAAAATCAAGAGAAGAGTGAAAAGGAATTTAGGAATCTTTTTAATTAGACATATGACGTTTGGGAGGTAGGTAGACTTGGCAAAACGAGTCCTTCCCCGCGGGTTGGCTTGTACCCGAGTAAATAATATAGGGTACAGGTCCTTAAGATTAGACTCGTTTTTTTTACTCGTACCCGACCCAACCCATTTTGTAAATGGCCAATCTGGGTACCCCCGCGGGTACCTACAGGCACCAATTTGAAATTGAAAAAAAATAAAAATAAATAAATAAATGCCAAATCCCTAACTCCTGACATAATCACATTACACTTCTACCTTCTTCAGTCTTTACCTTACAAACTCAACTCCAACTTCTCCATCATCGCCGCTTTAGCACTTCTCCAGTCTTAGTCCAAACAAAAAACCACTCTTTCAATCATCAACCTTTCAAATGGCTCGCACGAAACAAACAGCAAGGAAGTCCACCGGAGGCAAGGCGCTACGTAAGTAGCTAGCCAAGAACCGCTCAGAAGTTAGCTTCAGCGATGGGAGGAGTGAAGAAGCCGCACCGTTTCAGGTCAGGAACTGTGGCTTTGAGAGAGATCAGGAAGTACCAGAAGAGCACAGAGCTTTTGATTGGGGTCTGCAGGTTTTTGTTGTGCTGGATAAAGAGGATAACAACAGAAATTGCCTCTTTGGGTCCTTTTTAGGTTGTGCTGATTTTTGTTGAGTAGGTTTTTGTGGGCAATGGAGTTGTCCAGCTGTGCATATTTTGGTTTATGCTGGCCATTTATAGGGTCTGTGTGTTGTTTGTTTTTGCTGTAATCTAAGGATCTTTTTCTTCTCCTTTTGATTGCTTAGTTGCTGGGCTCTAGGGATGGTTTGACAAATGGATCTATTGATTTGGTATGAAAAATGGGTTTTTTGTAGGATTAATTTGTGTTGCTTTATTTGAAAATGGGTTGTTTGCTTTGTATTGTTTTTTGTCGAAAAATTGGGCTACTTTAATCATGTTGATTTGAATTCATTTAGATGTGAGAAATTTAGTTTTACTGAGTTTGGATTTACTTTATTCATACTTGGAAGATGAAAAGAGAACGAGAGAAACTGTTTGTTTTCAACCAAAAATGAAAATGAGTGAATTTAATTGAATTTGGAGTAGATGATTATGGGGGGTTGTAACTATAAAATATTAAAACTGTATAAACTGTGGGGGTGTAATTGCAAGAATTGGAAACTAGGATGAATAGTATAGGCATCCGCGGGTCCACCTATACCGACATAGGGCAGGGTACGGGTCTAATATTTTGGGCTCGTTTAGATCAACCCGTTTTTGGCCCTTACCCGTTTAGACCCGACCCACCCGCCCGTTTTGCCAAGTCTAGAGGTAGGTAACCAAATCTTCATTTTAATATGTGATTATTTGATTATTTGACATTAACGTTGACATAATTAAAATGACTATTTCGTTAATGATTATTTGACTATTACGTTAACGTAATAACGGAAACATGTGTCATTAACGTTAATGTTAACTTGGTTACAATTTGTTCAATTAAGAGATATATAATGATTATTTGACATTAACGTTAACGTAAAATGTTAAAATCACTTGAATGCCCTTGATTTTTTGCTTTTTTTAAAAGTGAATTTAGTTCTTAAAACAGAAATTTTGAAAAACTAAAAAAAGAGCAAAATCGTTTTTTTTCAAGGGAAATTGTAAAAATAAAAATTAAGAAATCTAAAACTAAAAAGAAAATCAAGAAAAATAAATAAAAACTAAAAAATTATTATTTATTTTTTTAAAATGGATAATTTAAATATTTTATTTAGTTATTCAATTTTTATTTTTATTTTTATTTTGATAATTTTTATTTTAATTATTTATTTTGAATGAAAAATTATATTTGTTCAATTACATTTGTTGATGTGTGATTTTGACACTAATGAAATATGCACGTGCAAAGTGCTATGAGTTTACACATGAGGTGATTATAGCGAGTATTTGTGGTGAAGTGATGATATGTGTTTGAAGAAATGTAAATAAAAAGTTGATAAGAGAGATTTTTAGAGTAGTTCAGATGCTTTTAGCAAGTTTTACATCCATTGTTATTTTATTATTCTCTGACTGTTTTTCTAATATCGCCTATGAGGTATACAAAAATGGAGTAATATTTTATTTATAGAGAAAAATAATAGTTTAAACTCGAATTTATGCCTAGCCTCCTCTTGGTGAAGGACGTTGCTCATTTTTATATAGTGAGTCAAATGTAATGATTACTTAACAAGCTATCTAACTACATGGGGAGTTCTCCCTAATCCTGATCCAAAAATTTAATAGAGTTGGAACATGTATGAATACTTGGATTAAGTTAATGACAACTTACACCTTTTAGGCTTTAATTGTTGTTTGTGACTGATTTTGTCACAACACATCTTTATCCTTATATAAAGTTAAATCTAATCCTAAGTAATTTTCATTGTCCTTTAATTGATTTTATAACTTATATCACAATTTCATTAATAAAATTTAAAAAGTTTGTACTGTAATTGATAATATTCTTAAATCTTAACAACATCCGCCCAACACATTTGCTTGGCTGGTTCTACTTCTACCCATAACAAGTGGGAAGTATCCAAAGTTTTCTACAAACCAGATGACTGTTAATTATTTTATTTTAATTCCAACACTAGCTTGCTTGAGAAAATAAATGGTACGATGTGTTGCAATGCAATCCGATATTTTAAATTTCTTCAAAGATGATGCTTTTGTGTGACATTCTAAATTTCCTATGCTGCTGTTTTCATTTGATGTTCTAGGTTTTTCTAAATGAAAAAGGATACAAAGAAAAGAATAATGATATCAATTTAAGTGAATTCAATTCAAAGTGAAATAAATTATTGAAAAAAAAAGTTGTTAAAACAAAATTTTAATTTTGAAATATCAATTAAACTAAAAATAATATAATAGAAATGGAATAACATTCTAATTAATATAATTGCTAATTTTTTTATAAAAAAATATTTAATAATTTTTTTGTGGGGACTTACTCTAGAATGGGGCCTCAGGCAATTGCCTCATTTGCCTGTGCTTCATCATATTAATTTAATTAGATTTTGTTTTGCTAGTAACAAACACCATTGCAAATTGGTTATGCCCCGAAGTTGGATGTGGGAGCCTAGTGTCAGTGTAATTTTGATATGATTTTGCTGTATAAAGAGATTATTAATTTATATATCAAATGTTATTTATGTGTTTTTTTTTAATGTATTGTCTTATAAATTTAGCAAATTATTCATTTATCACATTGATTATAAGTCAGGATTGACCAAATAATATTATTTAATTAATTAAAGTTATTAATTTATCCAGCACTAATTTATATATATATATATATATATATATANATATATATATATATATAATTAAAAATAATATTAATTAAAGTCTAAAGAGATAAAATATGGGAAGTTAACGGTGTTGCTCCTTATTTGAGTAGAAACTTTGAAAATAAAACTTAAAAGAGGTGATATTTGAGAACCATAGCGATCGGCGGAGCCATCTGATGATAGATTTGTGGTCCCTATAGCGGGTTATAAATAGGAAGGCCTCTGAATAATTTAAGGTTGTAAAACGAGCTCAATAACTAGTAGTTCGAAGCTCAGATGGCTCTAGACACTGTATCCATGGCCATATTGCTCCCTCTTCTGCTAATCCCAATACTTATCTTCAAAAACATAAAACAAATCAAAAAACAAAACAACCGCTTCCCACCTGGCCCTCCCAGGCTCCCTCTGCTAGGCAATTTACACCAACTTGGAAAATTACCTCACCAATCTTTGTGGAAACTCTCCCAAAAATATGGCCCCGTCATGCTCCTCAAACTCGGTCGTATATCCCTCATTGTAATCTCCTCCGCTGAAGCCGCAAGGGATGTCTTAAAAGATCATGATCTTGACTGTTGCAGCAGACCGGCGTTGACTGGTTGTGGGAAGCTCTCATACAACTTTTCAGACGTCTCGTTTGCACCATATGGTGATTATTGGAGGGAAATGAGGAAAGTATGCGTCTTGGAGCTTTTCAGCCTGAAGCGCGTCCAGTCATTTCGGTTCATTAGGGAAGAAGAAGTGGCGTCAGTTATGGATTCCATCTCTCAGTCGTCATCTACTGCCTCTCCTGTGGAGCTCTCTCTGAAGATGTATGCTCTAACAGGAAGTATAGTATTTAGGATGGCCTTTGGGAAGAGATTTCAAGAGAGTAAATATTTTGATGATGATGACCATAGGTTTCAAGAGTTGATTCATGCAGCTATGGCTGTGGCGGGAGGGTTCACTGCAGAAGAATGCTTCCCTTATGTAGGTTGGATGATTGATAGATTAACGGGTTATTATTCAAAACTTGAGAAAGTTTGCCATGAATTGGATACTTTCTACCAGCAAATAATCAATGATCATCTTAAACCTGAGGGTGGCAGAACAAAACAAGAGCACAAGGACATTATCGACGTGATGTTGAAAATTGAGAGAGATCAAATTCAATCTGGCCGCCAAGCTCAGCTTACAAGGGATAGTATTAAAGCAGTAATCATGGTACGTAAGCAGTTTTGCATGTCAATCTTCATCCGTTTGCTAACACAGCACCGTTTCTTCCCCATCTCATCCTCATTAGTTTGGGATGATTTTAAGTGCCTAACCTTATCCAAGTGCCGTAGTGCACCCAACTTTCTTTCTTCTTTTTGTTTTTTTCCTTTTTTCATTTTTTAGTCTAATACGCGTCCGACGCAGACAAGTCATTTGAATTTTTGTATTTCCACTTTGCACATCCGACGCAGACAAGTCACGCTTTTCAAAAAATGACCGCACCTTTTTTGGATGGTTTCTTTGGTCTATCTTGACTTTAAAAATCGATTTTTAAATACAAAACTTTTTATATTTTGCCTAAATAATAATTTTGTTTAAATAAAACTCTAATTTGTAAAAAAAAAGTATCTTTTAAGACGTTATAAATCTATTAAAAGAAATATATTGAAACAAACTGAATTTATGATCTCAGTAATAATATCTGAACTACTTAAATTTTTTTTTTTTTTTTATGTTAATTTAATTCCTATAGTATGTTAATTTGAAGTTAAATGATATGTTTATTTTCATTTTAAATTAATATTTTCAAACTGACAAAAAGTATCTAAATTTATAATAAAACTAAGAGTGAATTATTCAATTATTCAATAAACTATACATGTCACCTGCCTCTTAGGCCAAAAATACAGAGTAAGAATCTTTCATGTCCGAGTATCATATCATCTCAGTTTTTAATTATTTCTAGCTCTGTTTTGGCTCTAAAAGTTCACCGTACTGCTAAAAGAAATGCCACCTCGCTGATCAACTTCACCGAAGATTTTTGTTGGACATATTTACCATTTTATTGAAGGTTTGACCTCATATTTCTTTTAACTATAATCTTTAAATTGATCAGGATATATTTTTGGCCGGAGTTGACACAAGTGCGAGTACCGTTGTCTGGGCAATGGCAGAGCTAGCCAGGAATCCAAGAGCCATGAAAAAAGCACAAGATGAAGTGAGAAACCATATTGGAAAGAAAGGAAGAGTTACGGAAGCCGATATCAATAAACTTGAATGCCTGAAACTGATAATCAAAGAAACTCTTAGACTCCACCCTCCTGCCCCACTGCTACTTCCAAGAGAAACTATGTCCCACTTTAAAGTCAATGGTTACGACATTTATCCTAAAACGCTGATGCAAGTCAATGTTTGGGCAATTGGAAGAGATCCTAACTGTTGGAGCAAACCCGAAGAATTCATCCCGGAAAGATTTATTGATAGCTCTTTTGATTATAAAGGGCAGAATTTTGAGTATTTACCATTTGGAGCTGGTCGAAGAAGTTGTCCTGGAATTCATATGGGATTAATAACATCAGAGCTTGCACTTGCAAATCTCTTGTATTGCTTCGACTGGAAATTGCCAGATGGAATGAAGGAGGAAGGTTTTAACATGGAGGAGACAGCTGGTCAGACTCTTACCGTCGCTAAGAAGACACCTCTCAGCCTTATGGCCACCAGCTATTTGCAATAACAAGTGGGAATTGCAGTAAGACTTGTATTGCCTATTTTGGCTGCGTATTATCCAGGTCGTGAAAATATAAATATGATATTTCCATAATAATCATTTCTGTAAGGTTACATGTAAGAGTAGTATTGTTTTAAATAAATTAAATGCACATGTTTGATTAAAACTTTGTACGTTACAATATAACGTATAACTATTGAATGTATATTGAGTATTGTTGTAAAATAAGTCTTATATAATCATTTGCTAAGGAGAAAACGAAATGTTCCCACCCAAGTTTCGCGAATCTATAAGTTTTCACCCCTATTTCATAAATTTCAGATTTTCACCTTTAAATTTTTAGATTTTAAAACAATATAGAAAATGCTATTATCAAACTTGATCTTCACAAATAAATTAATAAATTATTTTTTAAAATAAAAAAAATAATTATCTTAGTTTCAAATTTATTTTAATAACACTCTCATCTACGACCTTCCTCTTCTCTCTGTCCGTAAAACCAAGGGTGGGTGTCGAATGGCGATCGTGAGCAACCACAGTCCGACGAGATGGGGGTTTTGTTAAGGATATGTTGGTGGTGCTGATGCTGGGGCGTAGGTGGATTTTTTGGCGTCGGGAACGGCCGGAATCCGGCTAGGAAATGAGAGGTCGCGCGAACAAAAACCTAGCGGCGTCAGCAATTGGCTGGGGCAGTGAGGTGGGGAATAGAGGGCTTTTGGCGTAGATGGGACGAGGTAGCTAATGGTTGTGGCGGCAGGGTCCAATGACGCCGTAATCAAGCCGGTTGGCCCAAAAGCGGCAACCACCCTTGAGTTGCAAACACCTCTCCCAGCCGCCGCAAAAGCCAACTCCAGCCGTCCTTGCGTGATCAATCACGACTGTCGCGTGAACAGGTTGTGGGTGGTTGTTTAGGGAGTTTTATTGGACAGGTTGTGGACAGTGTAGTTGAGGGAGGTCTTGTGAGTTGCCAGCGGCAGTGGGCGGCCGACAAAGAGTCTTAACAAACACAGCAAACAAACACTTCAATCAAAAACCTTCAATCAATCTCTATTAATCACCACAATCAAACAAGAAGTCCACAAAAAAAACCAATTCTTGTTTTGTGATGTTTTATCTTATGTAGACTAAGCATGGTGATGTTATTAGCGTCCATAAAAAAGAGTTTGGTAATACTTTTAAGTGGTATGTTGTAGAGTTTTGATACATTATTTCTTTGATAAGGATGGGGTCTAGGTGAAGAGTTGATGCGTCAAGGAACTCCGTTATCATCATGGGCAATTAGAAATCTGGCTACAGAACATCTGCTTCCAGTTGTTGCAGTACTTCAATGAAAAAATCAAAATAATATCAATTGCAAATATATCACATAGCATATTAATTTTTCCAAATTTATAGATTAAACATAGAACAATGCAATTCAGATATTCTGTAGCTGCAAAGTCACTTCACGAACCGCATCAAATAAAGGCCAGGCTTATAACCAGCTGCTAGAGTAGTCACACTGCTTGTTTTATTTCATAAGGACTACTAGAGGTAATTGACATGCACAAGAGTGAGAGTAGTCTTTTTACAAAGAGTAAGACTCGTGCCAGTTGCCTACTCCAAGTTAATATCATCCTCTTTCATTCCATTGGGTATTTTCCAGTCAAAACAATACAAGAGATTTGCAAGTGCAAGTTCTGCTGTTATTAATCTCATATAAATACCGGGTCAGCCTCTCCGACCAGACCCAAATGGCAAAAACTCAAAATTTTGCCCTTTAAAATCAATGGAATTATCCATAAACCTTTTTGGGATGAATTCTTCAGGTTTGTTCCAGTAGTTAGGATCTCTTCCAATTGCTCAAATGTTAACTTGGATCAGAGTTTTTGGATAAATGTTGCAACCATTAACTTTGAAATGGGACATAGTCTCTCTTGGAGGCAATAGTGGGGCAGAAGCGTGTAATCTCAGAGTTTCTTAGGTAATCATCTTGAGATATACAAGTTGATCAATATCGGATTCGGTAACTCTTCCTTTTGTTCCAATACAGTTCCTAATTTCTTCTTGTGCCTTGTTCAGTAAACTTGGATTCTTAGCTAGCTCTGCCATTGCCCAGACCACGGTAATTGCACTTTGTCAACTCCAGCAAAAAATATTTCCTGACAGACAAGATATATGTAAAGGGATAAGGGGTTTAATTCGTTTCATCAAGTTAATAGTAAAAGATGGGCCCAACAATAAATTCTTGAGGCCCAAAAATCACGAGATATAGCCTATAGGTGGATAAGAACAATTATTATTCAAAATGTTTTTGATAATACTAGAATATTTATTTCGTAGAACTATTGTAATATTAATACATGATTACCACACCTTCTATTTATAAATTTTATTTTTAATTTCAGTAATATTGAACTTACAAACTATAATTCAAATAAATTAAGTATATAAGTAGAGTAATAAAAATTAAAAATAAATTTATTAAAGTGACTTTGTAAGAGTTAAATCTGCACGGAGAATGTGTACTTACCGAGAGCACAGCCTTAATGTTAATATGATCATTTGTGAGCCGACCTTCACGGCAAGATTCAGTTTGTTCCCTCTCTATTTTCAGCATAACATCAATAATGTCTTCCTGTTCCTGCTTTTTCACATCAGGTTTAAGATGATCATGGATTATCTGATGGAAGAAAGCATCAAATTCTTTGAAAACTCTTTCAAGCTTCGCATTGTAACCACTAAGTCTGTCAACAATCCAACTGACATAAGGAAAACATTCATCTGCACTGAAGCTTCCCATTACAGCTTCAACTTCCTGAACTAATTCTTGAAATCTATGATTATCAAAATTACTCCCTCGAAATCTCTTCCCAAAAGCCATCCTAAATACTATACTTCCTGTTAGAGCAAATATTTTCTCAGTAAGATCAACAGGAGTTGGAGAAGATGATGATTGGGAGATGGAATCCATAAGCAAGATTACTTCTTCTTCCCTGATGAACCGAAACGACTGCACCCTCTTGATGCTAAAAAGCTCGAGAACACACATTAGTGGATTCAGGAATTTCTTTTAGGATAGGCCAAAATAAAAATTTATTATACATTATTATTTTTGTTCATTAATATTTTTGTTCATTAATATTTTTGTTAAGGTTGATCAAAATATATAAATTATAAATATTAATATTAAAAAAAAAATTGAGGGTGGGCGAAAGTGGCTGGATCCGCCTCTGAGAACACATATTTTCCTAATCTCTCTCCAACACTCGCCATATGGCGCAAAAGCTATGTCTGAATAGTTGTAAGTTTCCCAATGGCGGTTGAGTGTGCTCTACTACAGCAGTCAAGATATATCGTGAACTTTTAAGACTTCTCTTGCAGCCTCAGTTGAGGAGATTACAACAAGGGCATACGGCCAAGTTTAAGGAACATTACAGGGCCATATTTTATGGAGAGTTGCCTTAAAGATAGGTGAGGCATATCTCCCAGTTGGTGTAAACCGCCTAATATTGGGAGCTTAGGTGGCCCTGGTGGAAGCTGCTTGTTCTTTCTTCGAATTTCTTTTATCTTTTTCAGGAGAAGCAGTACAGGGATGAGGATGATAAGGAGCCATCTGAGTAAAGTGAAGAAATCCATCTATCTTTAATTTGCAACTTCAAATCAGCTTGTGCTGATGTGGCTTATGATTTGCCACAGTGGAAGTCAGCACTTTGTTAAAGAGTCAAAGGAGAATGCGGCACCGTTCAGTGTTGGACCAAGATGCATATCGTGTCCTTTGATCCTTGAGTTTTGAAAAAGCTTCTCATCTCTCTCTCTTTTTCTCACACAACGCCTGGCTGAAAAATCTTCTGATTTACTGGCCATCTCACAGCTATGATGAAATCAAAGACAGGTGAAGGCTATCTTAGAGAAGGATGATTGTGTATTTAAGTGTGGCTGCTGGAGAAGAGGAGGCAGATCTCATTGCAAAACTTAGGGTATTCAATCTTGGGTGTGTTTCTTCCTTTGTATTCTTCTTTGTTCTTTGTTCACCCATTGTACATTCTTGATGATTGAGTAATGAAAATACATATTGTGAGCCTTAGAGTGGATGTAGACTGCAAAACCGAACCACTATAATCTACCGTATTCTGTGTACTTCTTTACTTGCTTATTTCTTTCCTTTTTAATCAATTAGTCTATTGATTGTGTCATTTGGGCTGAAAGTGTTAAATAGTAAACCCTTAGGATCCTAACATAGCTTTTACCCATTTATAACCCAACTCCAAAGATTACAAAAGTGTCAGTTGTCCATCCCCATTTGGCTGTATATATTGTTAGAAACAAACTTGCGCTATTGTTGATCAGCAATAATCAGATTCTCTGTGATAATGATTACCATGTAACAGATGATAAGTATGTATATACTTCCAAATTGCTGAAAATGACGGGAAAATTTTTCGCCTATGATCATGCTATCTCCTTTAAATTTGAATTAATCAATTATATACTGTGGAGAATTGGTTCGTAAAGACAGCAATACAAACAAATCAATTACTTTCTTTCAAAACTCCAAATACTTATATAGCAAATATTATGACAAGTACTATTAGAAAATCATTTTTTAAAATTTATTAGAAATAACTCTATCAATTACCCAATTACAATCTCATCTTCCAATGTCTGCAATTCGAAGAGAGAGAAGCAGCCGGCTAGCTTGGAATACATTCGTACTGCATTGCCCTTCAATAAATCTTGCAATAATTACAAGTGGCATGGTTAAGTGTGGTCTGATGTGTTTTTGTTTATGGTAATTATAGTATGTGGTCTACACTGTAATACTTGTTGGGGGATTGGTTAACACACTTCAATGTTAAAGTACCCATTTTAACGTGCAGCGGAATATTGCCAAATTGATTAAGAGATTTCTAGTTTTTTTAACCACAGCAAACATAAGTGTAGAAAGTAAAAAACACAGTCGTATACATGATTTAGCTAAATCCACATTTGGCCTACATCCATGGGATCTTGCCTGATCTAAGTTACAATAAAAAGAACTCTCTGTTCAACTTTTACACTTAGTACCACGCTCAGAATCCTTAACGTGTAGAATTCCTTGGACCTTCTTCTCGTCGAGAACACACCCGTGAGCAGCTTGTGAACCATCAAGCTTCAACCACCGATGC